CTGACCAGGCAGGCTGGGTGAGAAAACAAAGGTGTGAGTAGCTTATGAGATTCTTACGTTGTGTCACTTTTTGCAGCAGGCCTCCCACAGAGACCTGTCTCAGTTCAAGTGCAAGGAAGCAAAGTGAATATGTGCAGTCAAAATGTGCAAGAACTTATACAAAATATTTTTGTTTGTGAGTGTATGTCTCTGAGTCAAAATATCCTGTCTTTCTTTACACCGTTTATAAAAATGAATGTGATCAGAAGCCAACTCTATCTGTTCAACTGCTCTGTCTCTGCCTATTTTGAGAAGTCACACTTTCCTTCTTTCTTTTTCCCAACTTTCTGTGGAGCCACAGCATTGGTATTGTAATATACTGCTTATTTGTTGAGGCCATGTGTATACATTGAGAGCAGCGCACGTTTCCTGTTAACATTGGAGGCTGAACTCACTTCCAAAAATTACAGCTTCTCAGGCCAGTTGTGCAGAACAGACCACTGCCTTGTCTAAATATAAGCCAGCTCCAACACTGTCTATTCCAGATCCTCCAGAAAGTAAATGCTGGCCAAACAGGGCAGTGGACTGCTACATGAATTCCAAATGAGACTAATAGGACTTTAATGTACTTAAATGACCTGTAATCAAAATCAGTGGTCACCTGAAATTTACAGTTTTGCATTTACAGTGACACGCTTTCTGTTAGACATGTTTATTCTCGTTTCTCCTTTTTCACATATCCTGTTAACTTATTTTTTGTGAAACATAACCATAAGGTGCTGATATAAAACATGTTACAATATATACTACAGTATAAAACACATACTGTCTGATGACCTGACAAATCAAATCCTTTATGTTACCATTTGAGCCATTCACATGAACAGTGTCCACTGTTTTAATGACCAAAATTCAACAATTCAACTAGATTTTTTTTTCAGATATTTTAAATGAATGTGAGCTGCTTTTTATTTTACCGGACAGTTTAGGTCAGTCAAACACAAGACTTTTTCTGTATCATGTCATCATGCTTTGGAGAATAGTGGAATTTCCCTTTTAGATCCTCTGTGAGCTGCTCTGATTGTACATACAAAGCCGGACGGAAATTGGGAGAGGTAAACGGAGGCCAGGCAGTGCTGCAAGCTGTCAAACAGCTCTGTGTATGATTGAAGACAACCCTTAACTGGAGCATAAACATCCCAGCAGGCTCTTGCTGTGCACTGAGCCCCTCCTGCTTCACCACCAGCCATTTGGGCCATGGCGAGCCAGCAGCTGGGTCAAGGTGGAAGAGGAGGGGATAGTGTGAGAGTAGAAATATTACGAATGATACCTGCAGTGTACGAGGCTTGCAAAAGGGGATACTGTGGAGGTGTGCTGACAGGCACATTTTCTAGTGAACATAAATGTGCAGCTTTGCAGACAGGGGGACTTCAAATTACAAGTTGGGTCTTATATTCATAGTTTTGGCAATCATTTCTTTTACTTAGAACAATGTACTCACCAAAGTTGTTGCTGACATTTGGGAACAGTGACACTGCAACAACATAATCCATCTGGGCAAGACACAAGCAGGTCAGATAATCAGAAAAGTTGTAAACTGTACATTATTTTGGCATAGTGTGAAGTACACACCAGAAAAAAACTGAAGAGGTATATAAGGAGTCCTTGGCAATTATCATGACACAATAATTGAGGTGCAGAAATATTCCCCCAATTGGGTCTAGAGCTCTAGACACTGGTGCTGGTGAAGGAGTGAGGAGCAGCCTAGATGAAGGTCTGGGAGGATTTGATGTGGAGCGGGAGTCTGGTGAGCTCACTAGTTTATCACAATCCCAGACCTGTTAAGGGTCTGGAAGGAAAAACAAGCCAACCTACATTTACTAAAATGTAACAATTCAAGTAAGCTCTACCGGAAACTACCATCTGAAAAGTTAAATTTGTACTAAATAGACTAACTTTAAAAGATATCAGCTCAATTTATTAGGACTGCTGAAACTTCATATGAGCCTCAGTCCAATGTAGAAGTGCATTTTTGCATGGAAAAATGGTTGGCCCCATGTGTTACAGCATAGTAGTGGCATAGGCCGATTCTCATATATAAATTGGCACACAGATACCGTTTAAAGACAAAACTGAAAAATTCTGAACCTAGCCTTTAACATGCACCTACATTTTGTACTGTACAGCCAAAAATGTGTGAAGACAAAGTGGTGGAATGCATTTGTTTTACTATCAATACTGTGCAGCTAAAGTCACATGTGGTCTATAGACAGTGTGTCTCGGTGTAGGAAACACATCACACAGTCTTATAAACACCAAGAATCCCTCACTTACAGGCATCACTATTGGTTTATTTTCCTTTCAGCCCCCCCCCTTAACATTCTTTGTTAATTGGGATCTTGAGTGCATTTGTTTTCAATAAAGAGGTGTGCTTTGTTTGCATTCTCTCGCTCTCTCTTCCTGAAGTTTTTTATTTTCTGTTTTTTCACTGTGAGTGGATCAAATGTGAGTAGCTGTCTGATCACCCTGCACCACTCGCCCCACTCTCCACCTTACCTTATAATGGCTGACAAACACAGCCCTTCCATCATTTCCAGCAATGCTTCATGTACATAACTCCTTTTGGTTGTATATTGTTGCTGTTCATTATGGCTTACAGAGGAAATGAACTGAGGAACAATGCAGTGGTTACAGTATATTATCAAAATAAGAAATGAGAGTTAAAGGTTGATCATCTCTCAAGGGAATGGACACAAAATGAATTACAAATCTCCACAGATCCCCACATCAAACTAGACAATGAATCTGCTAAAAGGAGGCCCAGGTTTTCACTTCAGGATATTAATGTGTTTGCACACACTGCTTTGAACCATAATCCACCTGCAAATCATAAATACATGCTTGCACTAAAGATGGTTTTTCCAAGTTTCCCATGGCTGCTAGCCAGCCACGAGCCTTGAGGGGTGTGAAGGGCCCAGCTAGAGGTTAAAGAGGTGACTCGCTGATGAAGTCATTCTGGGATCAATGCCCAATTCCTCCAGTTTCTAAATTAACACTTCACCTCCTTCCCCCATTATAAGACACTGCACAAAAAGCTCACAATTTGACCTGATGGTGGCACTAGAGCAAAGATCTGAACATCACAAAAAATGTACAAATCCATCATCTGAAAGTAACGGATATACTGTATCTATATAGTATGACAATCATCAGGATACAGTAACTTGCTGAGACTCAAAATGCTGGCATGTTGACATGATGTACTAAGTAACAGCTGATTGCTATACCTTAATGGTAAAAAGACAAATGTGTGTGTTACAGTAGGGAACATCATGATTCACTCATTTATTTCATGTGTTGGTTTGTTTACTTCCTGATTCTCATATGTTGTCCTGATTTCATCCCAGAAATAAAAAAAACATGGCAACACTAGTCGACTTGTTGGAAGGATCTTCTTTTTTTTACCAAATGCTTTTTAGAACATGGCCTTCATCAGGTTGATTTCACTTCAGACCCAGCACCTCCGTGCTTTTGTTCTACTTTCCCACTCCTGCCATCTGCCCCTCTTTTGCTCCACCTTTACCCACCTGTGCATCATCTGTATCATCAGACCTGCCATCATTAAGGCCACCTGCTAGTCAGTGTGTTGCTGACATTCTGTTATGTGACTGACATCAAACCGGAAGAATACAAACATTTAATGGTGAAGAAGAATAGTCATTTACAATGAAGACACCAGTGAAAATATCTGATTGGAGACACAATAAGATTCTGAAACTTCTATCACTGGGAGCCAGTGCCAGAATCATCAGCCAAATTTAAAGTACAGCAAGAGACTTGGATGTTTATGACCAAATTAAAAATGGGCTACATGACCGTGTAGTGTCCCCCACTACTGTGTGCTCAACCCAGGGCCCCCACTCTTATGAGCTGCACAGAGTATTTCCAGTAGATGAGAACATGTCTGAGAGGAACTATCTCCTCTTGTGTGCTACATTTGTAAAAGGGAAACTCTGGACAAAGTCCAGGCCTGATTCTGTGGACGCCGTCCAGAGTTCACGTGTGAAAACAGCTCAAGAGCCTTTACAGCCGACTTGCCAACCTGCTTCTTTTTGGTTATTGATATGATTCTACTCTGGACACCAGCCTTGTTTTCTCCCTGCCTGGACTCTCCCTGATGAGTTACTCAAACTCTGACCACCTAACATTCATCTACTGTCTGCCCTTTTGCTTGGTACACCATTAAAGTGTTGCTCATAATGTCTGCTTGGTTTGCATCTGTTAGAGAAGCATGCAACCGATTGTTATATTTTGCTGCTTGTATTTAAACTGCCATACCTTACAGGCTTGCTCTTCCTGCCCACAAATGTCTGAAGTCCAAACTATTGCCCACAATCACAAAATTAAAAGAAGTAGATCAGGGAAACCGTTTCCTACTTAGTGTAGTTCCTAAGGTAAACAATTAGTCCACCTGATACAAGCACAGCAATAAATGAAAAAAGAAAATATGCTCCTACTCAGTCAGTTTTCAGAATAACTCCATGTGCCTACCTCATGATGTTTGTACATATGTGCATTTCTGTGTCTATATATTAACTTTGCAGTCTATGTCTGAGCCACTGTGTATGCATCCCAAACCACGTGAATGGGTTTATATTTTACACATGTCCCATAATTTATGCGTACACTTGTTTGTACAGACTTGTTTTTGTGTGTACGCCTCTGTGCTCTTTTGTTCTCCGTGCGTGTGTCAATGACTGGATGAGACAGGGGATGCTGCTACTCATGGGATGGTACTGTTTATGAGTTTGGGATAATCACGTGACAGTCAAAGGGCTCTGCCTATGGGGCGAACGGGACCACCCACGTGGCCAAAAAGGAACATTCATGCAGTTACGCGTGAACCTTTTCCGACGCACGGCAGGATTCCTGCGATCAAGACGGATTACTATGGGATCTTTTTTCTCCTTACAACACTGAAGCGGTTCTTTTTATATTCATCATAAGTGGCACGCTTCGGACTCCACGGGGGAGGGGGGCGGAAAGCTCGGATTTGTCCAGAAACCTCTCCCGCCTGGACTGAAGATGGTAAGTTTGCGACTGGCTGCCCAACGAGCTCGGATGGTTCAGGTGTTAAGTCTGGGCTGCCGATAGACTGATGCCATGGTCCATCAAGTGGCAACTTACCACTCATTTCTTTCCTTATTTTTAGGTATAGGTTAATTCTCCCATTTTTCTGGGTCATGAGGGTTTTAAATTTTAAAAAGATTTATATTTAGGGAAGCTGCTGTCTTCACCATATGAATAAGAAGATGTTGGTTTTTTTTAAGCCTTTGGATCCTTAGGCTACATTTTACTTATCTTCTGGCATAGTACGGCAAGTCTGCAGAAAGGCTGCCTGCTGCACAAGGCTATATTTTCAGACATTAGTTCATAATAGTTGATATATAGACGATTAAAGATACTGATGAAATCCACAATGGGGCAATTGGTTTTACAGCTGCATGCGTATTGCGCAAAAATGTCAGGCTAATCTTTCTCTGCGGCTGGTCTATGAGCTGTGTTGTTGTTTAATTTGAAATATATCTGTATAGACGCACTATTGTGATACTGTAACACCGAATAGTGGTAAAATGGTAAATGGACTGCACTTACATAGCGCTTTTGTGCCTTACCGGGACAAAGTGCTTCACAGATTCACCGTTTCACGCACACACTCACATGGATGGCGACGAAGCTGCCATGCAAGGCACTGGCCTGGCCACCGGGAACAACCTGGTTTCAGTGTCTTACCCAAGGACGCTTTGTAGTAGTAATAGCAGCTTCCATCAATAAAAGGGATAATGAAGTGGATAAACAAGCGCTAAGCGCTTAATTTACAACCCTGAATATTTTCACAGTGATCAACATCTCACCCAGTTAATAGTGTAAAATCTTTTATTTTTTTTGTATCTTATAAACCATGACTTGCTGAGCTGTGGGTGAAGACTGCCAGCTGACCTGGTAGCTGTATATGTTTAAGTTAAGTGTTTGATCATTATGACCAAAGATATAAAAACAAGTTTGGGATTTATCCTGTGGCACGGACACTCTAAGACTCTGTAGGCCTTTCATTTTAAGCTCAACTACTACCACTATGGCGATGGTACAGAAAATGTTTTTAAAAAATACATTTTTGACATTCCTCGACCCCCTTCCGATGCACACACTGTGTACCTTGCCTCAGACTTCAGATCCTCTCCGGAAGATATAGGGCGCTATGTGGAAACCCAAAACACCAAACGCCCCAAGCAGGTCTGGCTGTCAGCGAGCCTCCCCAGAAGATGGAGATGCACACATGAGGTCTCGCTGCCTGGGTGGTCTCTCTACTTTAGTGAGCTGTTGCTAAGCAGCTAATAATAGTCGTGTTTGCTGAGTAATTTTTGCCCTTCTGGAACCAATCAGATGCAAGAAACTCCTGCAATCTGACAGCCCCAGAGGCGGGATCTAGAGTCTTTTTTCTTTTGGCCCTCCTCCTCCTCTGCCTCCAAATGGAGAGAGGTCTTTTCTCCTCTTCTATTGAATCTCAGAGTTGGCCGTGACGCGCGGCCCGGGGGAAGACCACATAGATCTCAGCAGAATGCTACGACCATTGAGATTTCTTACCCGACTACTTGTGTATGGGAATCACTTTGTGCACCTCGCTTTTTGAGAGAAACCCACTTTTTAAGAGACACGGTGAAAGCGGTGAAAGCGGCAGAGACCTCCGGATCGCGAAATGTTGGGATGGAAGGCGCAGACTTTGACTCGCCGTCTCCTACAGGAGTATGAAGTCCTATTTCACGGGTGTGAGATCTCCGAGAGTGAAACTCTGTTGCCTTGGGATATCGCTACACGCTTTCGGGGAAATACTATAAAGTGGGAAACGGTAACCATCTCGCAGTCCCCGCAACATGGCCTCGGCTGCTAATGCGCCATCCGAGCAGGAAAACAGAGACCCCGATCGGCCGAGGATAACGCGGAGGAACAGGGGGCACCATGCACGCAACACACCGCTGGATTTGGAGTATTTGCAGCGGCCGAGTTACTGCGATGCGGGGTTTGCTCTGGAGCAAATATCCGAGGTGCTTATTTCTCATCCTAACTGGGAAAGAACTTTATGGTCTTGGATTCAATGTATTCGCGGAAAAAAGTGGCCAAACTAGGTTCAGTCGCTGCTAGGTAACGGATCAGGCTGGGTAGGGGGACGCAGTAGTAAGGCAAGGTTGTTGTAAACCTACAGTTGTTTTGTTTTATTTTGTGCAACATTCAGACTCAGCGTGTGTTTAAGGATTTCAGGAAAGCTGTATTTGTAAATACAGCCTCTCTCGATTGTTCCTAATACAGCATCCCAACCTACAACGGTCTCAGACAACGGAAAACATGCAGCCTGTACCCAGTCAACAACCGCCGATTGTTTCATAACATCAGACTTGCAGAACTGCTTATGAGCTGCGTAAAAGGTTTCTGTGGCTAAAACGGGGCTTTGTCTGATGATGTCCAAGTGTGGACGATTCGCGTAAAGAGAAAGAAAATCCATCTGGCTGCCGTTTTCCGTTCACAAATATCGTGAGTCCCCTGTGATGGCTCCTCTGCTCCCCGCGCAGGGCGGAACACACGGGCTGGTGGACGGGGAGTGGATTCGTGTGTGGTGGTATTTTTACCACATGCACCTTCTCAGGGTACTTAATAGATATCAGTGTTCGATGTGTGGATGTGCGTGCGCGTCGATGTAGGCTACTTCAATGACAAATCACACCAATATATTACAAAGATATATTGCCTTTTGCGGAGTGGAAAGCTTAGTCAAGGCAGGATTTCGAGACACTGGGCTATGCTTTTGCATAAGGATATTTGTGTGCAGGCTTATCTAAAGGCCACCTATGGCTTGGCTGTGGCTTGACAGCTATCTCCTTTTATTCTCCTACATCCACCCTGTAGGTCCATAGCAAGACAAACCTGACGTTTATTCAGTTATTTTGAACGAGCATCTTTTTAACCCAACCAGTTTAATGACAGAAACGGACCAGGCTGCGTTTAGGGGATGAAGAATTCTTACTTTTGCATGTGTCCTGCTAAGGTGACAGTTTATACATGTTACTGATATGACAGAACCTGTGGCTTTCACTCTGGGGAGTCTTCAGTGGTGTTCCAGGTGGTCCCTGGCAGATGTGTATATTTCACTTACGAAACATCTGCAGAATGAGCTCCTATTTCCCTTAATGCCTTCATTATAGATTTATCTTATCATGAATGAAAACAGCTAGTCTTCTTATATGAGGTTTCATTGGATCAAGTTAGGACCCAGAGTTCCATTATAATAAAACACTTTGACATGAATGCATTTGATACCACCTGTGGTAGTCATCTTTTTTGCCTGTATAACCTGTCCTCTTAAACTCTACAGATTCACCTGTCCAGGTAAGTGCATTGTTTTGTGTTTTAATTGACAGTAATATTAGGAATCGTTTCTCATCTTAGGGAAAGGCAACTGGGAGGAAAGCACCTCTATGGCTGAGAGCGAAGTTCCAGAGACTCTTATTTAGGCTGGGCTGTTACATACAAAAGAACTGCGGAAAGTTTTTGGTTGTGGGCCTCATGATTTTCGGAGCTTTCGCTGTGGGCTTAAGGGCAGCTAATTTGGAGACGGACGTGGAGAAACTCTGGGTGGAAGGTAAGACACCTTGATTTATAATTGACTTTTTGTACAAGTTGCACAGTTATTCTGTTTCTCTAGTGTGCCTGTTTAAATGTAAGATTTCTAACCTATTATGTATTTAAATGCTTTTGAAGTTATACAATTTTATACTGCATGATTTGGGCAGTGGTTTAGTTTGGAAGAAGCGAGGGTCTGTGGGTGCTATTTTACAAGTCTGGGGTATAGTTTACCATTTAGATCATGATAAATGACCCAACATATGCTAGGATAACTAATTTTATTTATATTAACTTACTGTATTGGTATCTTTTCAAACCATGTTAGATGCTGACACAAAATATGCAAGAGGGGACTGTAACTACACCCAGAAATAAGATTTTAAGTTCAGAAGTTGCTTTTGGGGTAGAGATTTTTTTTTTTTTGTCAAAGCCGCCATTTTGTAAGAGTGTGTGTGAGTGTCTATGAGTGTGTGTCTGCCTGCCCCCAGCAGTTGAATGCTCAGAGACTGTGTGTGTGGTCCCATTTTGGACAGCTCTCAACTTTCCAAAAAGATTTGTCTGTGGCTGCAGGGAAAAAGCGGAGCGAGGACAGGAGCTTGTGTTTGTGGAGTGGATGGGCCACTCACTTGGAACTTTTTGAAAAGCAACTTATAAAGAATGAACATTTTAAGGAAAAGAGGAACTGTGCTTATGGGTGGTGCGTGGGGGTGGGGGTGGAGGGGCTGTGCTTTTTTTCCCCTCTTTTCCTTTGATCCACATTCCTGTGCTTTGGGCTAGAATGTGCTATGGGAGTCATGAATGGAGGAGAAGATTTAGCTCCTGAGAAACAATAAGTTGTTTTTTTTTTTGTTTGGGCCACTAAAAAAGAGATGGAGAAAAATAAAATGCTGTTTATGCATAGTTTTTTTTTTTTGGAGGGGGTGTGGGGGTGGTTATGTTTTCTCCCCATTATAACTGAACTCCCTCAAATAAAAATGTATAGTTCCTGAGATTAGTCATTAAAGCAGATCAAACAGCCCAACTCCTCCCTGTTGCTGGCTCTTTCCTCTTTGCGTGCTGCTTCGTGGATCTGACAGACAGTGTGTTCTTCTAATCTGTGGTGCAGGCGCACCTTAGGGGGAGGGGGGCACATTTAGTTCAGGAGTCCTGATTTTTTGTATGGAGCCGAGGGCCCTGGGCCGCTGCATGTATCACAGGCAACTTGGGGGGGTTCAGTGTCTTGCCCAAGGACACTTCGACATATGGACTGCAGGCACTGAGATTTGAACCTTCAACCTTCTGGTTGGCAGACGATTGCTCTACCCACTCACCACTGTCACCCCCCGATTGTAGTGATTGCCACACCTTTTTCACACCATGGTCATGTGTACTACAGTGAGGGGCGCCATATGAAACTGGATGTTATTACAGACTCAGAAATCCATTGTTTACTACTATGCTGCTGCTGAGGACTGACATAGTCAGACAATTTGCTGACAGAAAAGTAATTGCTGATTTATTTTTGATAACATTTGCTGGGAACAGCCTCTGTGGTGTGATGATTGACAGCGTTTCCTGTGTCATATCATAGAAAAATGCAGTCTCTTTTTGACAGCAAAACAAGCCGCTGAAGTATACAACGTGGGCTCTGGTATCTTGTGATTAACATTTCTCTTTGTTTACTCTTCCATGTCACATTATCACCCTTCAGGAAGCTCTTGTGGAAGCAGTGTATTTAGCCATTTTTGGAGCATACAGAGCAACAGAGAAGTGCGTTATGCTGCTCTTCAGATGCTCTTCATTGAACCTGGCCTTAACAACAATTACACACGTATCACACATGCACACTAGGCATAAAGATACTGTGAAAACTTTTTGCCTTTAAAATACATAGTAACTGACACGAATTCACACTGCAAACATTTTACTGCAGTCTTTAAAATCCACGTTAGGTGAAATGTTTGTAGTGTGGATGGATTTTGTTTTGGTGAAGTCATTTATTCAAATGTGGTAAAGGTCTTGTTGGTGCAGCTTTGCAAATGTGAGGATTTGCCATTTTTCTCTGCTTCATATCATTGTAAATTCTTGGTTTTGAAGGACAAAATAAGGGATTTCAGCATCACTAAAGGTCCCAGTAGCTTGTGATATTCAGTTTGATGCTAGTAGAGAGTTGTTTTTGCTCATACATCCTTTCAAACCTTTACTGTGGTCTTGCAGAGAAATTACACCATCAGATTTGGGCATTGGCATAACACGTTAACTCTGTGTTGAACCTGACAAACAGCTGAACCAAGTCTAGTGGGCTCTGGTGGACTCGTGCTGATACAGAGAGACCTGCTCATACACACACAGACGCTGACAAAGAGACTGGGCTGTGATGGTTTCCTAGGTCTCGGTACATGAGGGGTTCCAGATGTTGGGAGGGAAAGAT